TTAAAAACTTTTTATATATATTTACGTTTTGAATTGATAGTAAATACAAAGTTTTTTCAATAGTATTCTATTAGTTTTTTTGATTATAATTATTGTTGAAAAACTTTAAGAATTACTTACAATTCTTTACAAAAATATTCTAACATAATACTTTTAAAAAATACTTATAGTTCTACCTGTGTTATTTACAGCAGTACTTTCCTGAAAATTTTTTGAGTATTCTTTTGAGCAATTGCCCTCTTTCATGCAAAGAGCATTTTGCATAAAAACATCACAAGAATCGTGCATCATTGATTATATGATAGTATCATAAGTAAAAGGATCATTATCTTTATTAGGAATTTCAGCAGAGACAATAGAATCATAATCTTCTATTGTTTTTGGTTTATGGTCTTGAGCGAGAATTAAGAGGATGTGGGCATAAAGTAATCCACATTTTTGGAATTCTATAGTATAAAGATATGCTAACACCTTTCCAAAAATAGATTCCTTTAAAATTTCTTTAAGTATGGCCCATAACTTTAAATTAAAAACACGGGCAATGAGATTAGGTCTGTCTTGAGCAGTTTAACTTAAAAGAAGAGAGTTAGTAATTTTGGACTATTGTGGATTACAAGTCATAGTAATAAAAAGATCAGGTTTTCCATATGCTCTTACAATAGCCATTGTATCTTGATAAAGCTAATGATATGACAAGATCCTCCAATGAAGCTTGAAGATAAAATTATACAGTGTCTTATATTTGTAGTTGTGATTGAACTATTTCTTGCAAGCATTCCATTTTGTAGTCCACTGTATAATTCTGAACATATTTTATCTTGATTAAATCTCAAATAGTTAAGGCGCATTTGTTCTACTGTAGCGTACATATCAACAATCCATTGCTAGAAAAGGCGTCCAAATTGATGTAAAACTATTGGTTTGTTTGGTCGATCTAGATGAAGATAATATGCAAAGTAATTTATAGCTCTAATATATTTTTTTGTATTACTTACTTCTTCATCATCATTAAATGAAAAAGATTCAGAATCTACAGATTGTTATAGAAATGAAGAAAAAGGAGTTAGGGTTGTAGAAATATAAGGATACCAGCTGTTTTCACCTCTGAGATACATAAGAACGTTATGCAATAGTTGATAAGCATGATGTATTTCTGAAATCTTTTGCAATCCTCCATCATGCAAATACAATATAATATCATGTTGCATTGCTTCAACATTTTATTCATCTTCAATCATAATGGCAGCAACTTCTGAAGCAGTTGGAGTATTGTAATGTCTAGAATCTTCTTTTCTACTATTCATAATTACTATCTGTAAGTTCAAGAAAGGATTTATACGTAGCATATGACCAGATTGTTTAAACATATTGCAATAAGGATTCAAATTATATAATATTTGTTGAAGTTCTTCAAGAATAATGGGGTCAAGACCAGGCATTACATTCATTCTATTTTACAATTCATGGTCAGTATCATAAATATATAATTGGGCAAATTCAGGATGATTTTTATTATTAGAAAGTAAGTTACCGATACTATGATACAATTCACCATGAATGTGAAAGCTGTAAACACCACTCGTACCGGTTATGCTTAGATTAATATTAGCACCTAGAGATGTAAATAACAATGCCGAATTATACATTCTAATATTTGGTCTAAATACGCAAGCTCTTTGATCTGTGCTTGTAAGAAGCATATTTAGAGGAAGAGGTAGTTTCTGAAGAGGAGGAAGAAGAACCTTGCTTCCAGTACAACAAGTTGTAAAAACTGATAATCAAACAGAAGATTTTACTATTCTTTCATCTATCTACAATAGAGCACCACACTTGCGACACCTATGTTTCATATTTTCTAATATGTGTCGATTTAACACAATGAAGACCAAGGATAGATGCATGCCTTTAATAACAATACTGGAACTCGAACAGGAACTTGAAAAGGAATTTGAACAGGTTCTGGAAGGGAAACTACGTTTTGCTTGGCAAGGCTATATAATTCATCCTCACAAATAGTACTAAAATTGAAATTTAATAAAGAAAAGGATAGAGAATTAGTACCTTCAATACTTAAACTTACATTATCTTCTGCCTGTATAAAATTTGGACTTGTATCAAGAACTTCTCTTCCTTCAACATTGTGTAATGGTGGTAGCATCTCTTCTTCTGCATGTAAATTATGGTTAGTAGATAAAATATTCTGAGTCTCATTCTTGTAAAAAATTTGTATAATTTAACTTTGGCTAAAAAAACCCCTTGTGGATTCTCAATACAAATTATTAATAAAGATAAAGGCAAAACCTTACCTCTAATACAAAAAAAATAATAATACTCTTTCTTGGGATTGTAGAATATTTTGTTGAGCTTGAAGCCTTTGTTAACGCAATTGGTCTGTGATCTTTTTAATGTGTTGATCTAAAGATTGTTCTAACACCATTTTGTAAGTCTCTTTTTTCTCATTTCACTATAATAAATCATGTGTTTATTACTTTTTAATAATTATATGCTTATAGTTATGATATGATATAACAAAGATTGATGCAATAAAAGATTTCTGAAAGTAGTGTATAAAATTGAGTTATAGAGATGTTGCATACAACAAATTAACTTTACAAAAATAATATTACAAAAATTTTTCTAGAATAGTATTTATCAGAATTACGAATTACAGTAATTCTATCAAAATTATATTAGTTAAAAAATATAATAATAATATTATTAATATTAATATTAATATTAATATTAATAATATTTGTAAATTAGTGCTACAAATAAAATATTAGTTCAAGACAAGACTCCCGACAAGAAACTTGTCATTGCTGAAAAACAAATTGCACACCAAATTATGTTTTTGCAGAATAAAGGATTCATTATGCTCAAGAAAATGCGAATATATTCTTCGCAGAAATGTGAAACTTTTAATTACATAGTTAAATTATATATGAATATTTGAATATATTTGTTTAATGTATGAAAATTTAGCTAGCAATTAACATTAAGCAAGCATATAATCATTTTTATTTGCTTTGTATTACTTAAATTTATTTTATTTTATTAATTTTTCGTTTAATGCATGAAAATTTAGCTAGTAATTAATGTTAAGAGAGCATTTAATAATTTATTTTTATTTACTTTTTATTTCTAAATTTAATCATTTTGATTCTTTTTGCAATTTTTTTTTGCTTTTTTTTTATCGGTAAATGGATACCGATTCTAAAAAGATTTACTCATTTCATGATTCACACAGGCCAATTCTGAATTGACCTAAATTCTATAACGACGCAGAACAATACTACATCCAACCCAAGCTTTTAATACAGCATAATCAAGTAAATTTTGATGATTTATAGAAAATGATTCTGAATTATTTGTACTAACAGAATATATCGATTTGCGACATTTTGTATTTAAAATTTTTCAATAATTATTTATATCGATTTTCAATTTTATTCTGCAAATATTTTTGTACATCTTGTAGACAACTAGAACATTCATTAAATAAATGTAATTCCATTATATTTGAAATAATAATTTCCTTTTTTTCAACAGTATAAGGAGCCAGCCGCCAAAATTAGATTTTTTATTAATTAAACTGTCTCCAACAGCAAATAAATTAGCATCAATATTATATGACACATTGGAATAAGTAAAAAATTCTTAAATTATTTGTTTTGGAGTTAGATTCTGTAATAATTTGATAATAATGAAGATTAATATATTTCGTAATTTGATAATAACATAATTTAATATAATATTTATCATAATTTAATAATAATATAATTTAATATAATATATATCAGGCTTTGGGTCCTGTAGCTTAGCGGCTAAGCTCTTAAACCCCCACAAACAAGGTTGATGGTTCAAGTTGGGCTGGACGCAAATTATTTAATTTGTCTCTGTAACCTTAGGGAGCTATAATTAAATGTGAAGCCCTGTAGCTAACTCCAAGTACAAGTATGATTCTGGACTAGGAATTTCCGAAAGGAGACCCAAATGTGAAGGATGGACACTATGTGTAATAGCAGTGTTACAGAAGACTGCAGCTATAAAGATTGCACAAGTAAGTCCTTTGAGACAGAGCAGCACCAACATCCTTATATCTCCAGTTTAAACAATACCAACATCCTTACATCCAACTTGTGGAGTACTTGCTTGAAAGAGTGGTTAATGAACTGTGTGAATTAGTCCTTATCTAGATTAAAAATACAGGTACTTGATTGGGAGGGTGATCATCATTACCAAAAGTCAGAGTAGTGAGAAAAGTGGTGAACACATAGATGGACTGTGATAAAGGATTGGCCTTACCAGAAACAAAAGCACCTCTGGCAGTACAGAATAGAAATACTATAGAAAGACAAGAATATAGAGGTTGTCTAACATTTTGAGTACACGTAAAAGTACTAAATCAGGCTCTAGTCACATCTATATGGAAGTCTATGATGAACAAGTTTAGGATCTACCAACCTCTGGAGTTTACAATTTAGATAGTAGTATGGCATCACTGAGGTTAGTGTAACTCCCTAAATATAACTGAAATTGTTCTGGTCTTGTATAACAACATACTGGAAAAAAGTATAATATGGTAGTATGGTATTACTAGAGTTGGTGTAACTTTCTAAATACAATCAGAATTGTCTGTATTAGTGTTCTGAAGTTCAGTTCAGTTCAGGTTCAGGTTCAATGAACCTGAACCTGAACCTGAACCTGAACTACAAATTTTGCAGATCATTAAATCTGAACATGAACTGAACTTTAGATTTATGAACTTGAACTGAACCTGAACTGAATCTGAACTTAACTTAAAAGTTCAATATTGAACTGAACTGAACATGAACTTCACTTAAAAGTTCAATATTGAACATGACTGAACTGAACCTGAACCTGAACTTGACCAAAGTTCAGTTCAATTCAGGTTCATAGGAACACTAGATTCACATAACCATCTCATATCACCAGCATCATCAACCACAATTGCACGCTACTGTAAGTTAGATAAGGATATGTTGGAGTTTATTAATTTTTATGTAACATATAAAACTACTGATGCACTAAATATAGGGAAACTTTTAAGAGATAGATATCTGGGATGGAAAATATATCAAAAAAACGTATATAATGCAATTCATTATGCCAAAAAAAAACTTTCATATGGAAATGAGTTAGATACATCAAATCTTTTGTTATATCTTTATAACCTTAAAACTAATGATCCTAGATGGTTCATTGAAGCTAGATTTGATGGTCCAGAATATAGATTATATAGTCTTATTTGACTTTCTCCTGAACAACAGTATATTTGGACAAAATTCTATGATATTAATTTTTTTGACATCACATCACATATCAACAAATATAATATGGTTGCCTGTTTCTTTGTTGCTATTGACAATTATAACTATACTCATCTAGTTGCTGCTGCTTTATTAGAAGATGAAACTGAAGATAGTTTCACTTGGGCTCTTCATATGATAAACAAGTGTACTGGTAATTTAGAGCTGCGAGTAGTTTATATGGATTCTGATCTGGCAATGTCTAATACTATTATATCAGAGTTTCCAAATTCTTTGCATTGTTTATATTTGTTCCATATTGATCTTAATTTAAAGAAAAACTTAAAGAATAAAATTTCAATTTAATGAGTTTTGTAAAGACTTTTACACATATCAAAATACGATGGTCATTAATATTTTTGAAAGCTGATTTGATTCCCTCAAGTTAAAATATACAGTTGCTACAAGTTATATTAAGTGTCAGCTTGAGCCTTTTAAAAAGAAGTGGGCAATTTGTTATTTCAACAATCAGTTTATAGCTGGAGCCAATAGTACACAACATGTTGAAGGTTTTAACAAAAAAATACATAACGGTACTAAGGCAAACTCCTCTTTAATAACTTTTGTTAAGGAAATTCAAGATATACTTGATAAAGAAGCTGAATTTGCTCGTGTAAAAGAGTATAAACACCAAATACCAACGGTTGGGCTTGCAACTATACCAAAGACCTTTTTTAAATCTTTATATAATATTGTAGAAGAATATCTTACAGATTCAATGTCAGTATATATTTGTAAACAAATGCAAAATTGCTTTTTCTATGATGCTTATAAGCTTGATCATAAAGATTAAGATTTAATTCAAAAAGTAGATTATCTGTTATTTATTTAAATAACATAGTGTATTAATTTTTTATTTTTTTTTAGATACATTTAGATGATAATATAAATGATGAAGCATGTAAAGATGATTATGAACTTGCGCAAAGCTTGTTAACTGACATTCTGGAGACAATTGAACCTTCAAACGTTCTTGAAATTTGGCATTTCACCTTTTCATGCAGTATTAAATCTCAATTTGTGATATTAACTTCAGATGGTTCACATAGATGTACAAGTAATATATTAATTATGCATGGTTATTTATATCATCATTTTTATAAGGTTCTTCAGACTTCTCCATATGCTCAATGGCACATTGGCCTTATTTCAAAACGGTGGTATAGAGATAATAAGATTGGCAATAATCAAGATATTTTAAAGCAACATAATCCTATTTAACTATATACAAAACCATCTTTCAATAGTTTTATTACTGCTAAGTATATATTCAATCTTGAGCATATAATAGAATTTCAAAGAGGTGATTTATATACTCCGGCTCTTCAAAATGCCAACAACGCTTGGTCAAGATATGGTTATATATATAGATTAATGAAAAAAACTATTGATATTGCTATCAATAGCAATTCATATAATAAACTAATTGGAATATGTCAACAATTTCTTTTCAACAAAAATCAAATCAAGATAATCAAGTCAAAGAAATCCCAATTACCAATCCTATTATTTCTCTCAAAAAGGAAGACCTCCTGGTAGAGCAAAAAGCTCAATAGAGATTCAAGAATCATATGCAAAAAAACATCAATGTTTTCTGGATAATGCTCAATTGAATAATTATAATGATTTGCAATCTAGTGCTAGTAAACCAAATCTTAATAATAGGAGGCAATGTCAAAGATGTGGACAAAAAGGTCACAATTAGGCTACCTGTAAAGCAGAAAATGTGTGATGGATTAGTATGCAGTTTATATATTAGATGTAGTCAACAGTTTCTTTGTTTGCTTATAATGTACTTAGTTTACAGTAAACCATGAAATTGATATTATGTTGACTTTCAAATGTTTTTTAACATTTTAATTTGTAAGATAACAGCTATAGAAGCCAAATTGATTTGATGTTTAATTGTACTTTAACTATATTAATGCCAAATATTGATTTCATTATAGCAAAGAACGTTTACAAATTATTAATTAACAATCTAATATCAATCAGTTTTTTTATATTAGAATACGGTTTGCCGCAGCTGTAGAGAAAAAAAACAATCTATATATATAATACTATCGCTATGCTATTTTATTTAAGGTGAGCAATCTTCTTTATTACAAATTCAATTCTTGTCTTTTGCATCTTTATAATTTATTATTCCATTCTCTAACACTTTGAGGTAATCATATTTAACTATCGATATGCCACTGCAATTATCCTCATTTAACCCATTAGATTTTTCTGTAATGAAGTTTTTGTAATTATCAGTTAGACAAACATGACACTTAATTTAAAACAATCGTTGGATATTTAAGGGTAGGTGAACATTAATAAGAATATTTGTAATTCATAGGATTTATCGTTACCACAGCATTAAATTAATGTCATAAATAAATTTTATAGATTCACGTTTATGTCGGTTTAGATTTACATTATTGACTTGGTTCATAAAGACTGCTTTTTATTTAATTTGGCCTGTTATATGTATCACAATGACATGATTCAGCCGTGAACTTGTCTTTCAAAAAATAGTTATGTAATTGACGAAGATAAACCTGTAAATTATTAATTCTACACTTATAATATCGCACAATATTTAATTTAGAAACGATTTCAATAATACTCATATAAATAAATCTATTACTTATACGAAAGCAAAATTTAGCATAGCTAATTATAATTTATGTTACATACATCATAGATACTAACCCACAAATTTCTGAGAACGTGATTTTTAGCCAATTAGATCCGATCATATGGTCACGTGACAGGGAGGGAATTCCCCCGGTTAAAATTAGCGATACCCTTTTTTTTATATCTTTATAAAAATACGACAACAATAAATATAATATATTGAAATTCAAAGATAAATAACATCAAACTACAGCGTTTATTTATCAGATCAATTAACAATGCAAATATTTCTATAATTTTTATTTTAACTTACTGTAATTTATTATTTATATTTGAGTGTCGCTAAGGAAAATCCACAATCATAAAAATAGATTATTATGAAAATCTAAATAAAATCTTTTTTAGAGTTGCCTTTGGATCTGCCTTAATACTGTTATATGATTAATATGCAGCAAATGTATCGCACGTTTGATTGACCCCTGTTGTTTTGCATGTTTATTTTGTTAATTACAGTACATGGTAACTCGAAATTCATTCTTTTTTTTAAAGATCGGTGTTTCTTTATTGTTCATATATTTATAATTAGCATTAGAAAACCAGATTTATGTATGATGTGAGCACAAGTTCAATGTTATAATTTTCGTATATTTCAATAATCAAAAAATATATAGATGAATTAATTAATTTGATTTTTTATCAATTATCGTTAGAGAATTAAATTTGCATTTTCATTTTACTTTGAATTTAGATTATTTAAAGAATATTTTGTGGGCAAGGTTACTGTTTCGAATATAGGAAAATGAGGGCCCTGACTATTTATTTCAATAATTATAAAATAGGTTAATTCCTTTTATCATTATGGAACATGATTTACGATAAAACCCATGATTTTTAATTTTATTTACCTTGAATTTAGGTTAGTCAAAGAATAGTTCGTGTGTAAGGTTACGTTTCGAATATAAGAAAGAAGGGCTGTGACTATTTGATTTCAAGAATTAAGTTTAATTAATTTAATTTTCTAACATACTTAACGGAATCCACTTTCCTAACGCATGAATAAGTGATAAACAAAGGATGATTAATTCCGAGCCACCATATTCCATAATCAACAAAATAAATATGCAAAACAATGATAACGATAGTAATAGGTGCTAAATTAAACGTTGCGATATTTGCAACATGCTTACGAGCTTATGCATAAATTTTATTTATTAAAGTCAAGCAATATTTGTATAGTCTATGCGTTCGATTCATAGCAATTAATCTTCTTAAATGCATAAATTTATGTGATACGTGAAATTTCTAAAGAAAATTGCTTGTACGTTATAGTGCTTCTATAAAATTACGATAAGAGAGACGGATATTTAAAATGTTTCTAAATTCTTCACCCATCAAATTGCCTATTCTCATTAATCAAGAAAATATTTACTGAATTAATCTTGATTATTTTTTCTACCTATTCTTGGATTACTCATCTAATTTGAAATATTAAGTTTACCCTGTTATTCTTAATTAGCAAAGTAGGATGAATTATTTTAAATTTTTTGTATTTATCGTTCAATTATAAAAGTTTCACTTCTCGCAGCCTTACTTATTATATTGTGTACTGCGAACAAAGTTTATGCCGGTGGCCCTCAACAACAGACAATTAGTCAGAAGGGTCTTATCTGTCTAGCACAAGCAGAAGGTTTTTGTTCTAAGTGTTATCAAGATACCGAGTGTCAATGGACAATAGGGTATGGATTTTATATAAAAGAAGGAAAATCAGAATGCAAAAAATGGGAACCAGTGAGCAAAGATAATGCTTAGATCAAATTAAAAAATTTTGCTAATACCAAATCTGTTGGATATGTAAGGAGATTCGTGAAAAAACCATTAAACAATGATCAGTTTGATGCTTTAGTAATTTTGGCTTATAATTCTCCAAAGGGCGTACAAAATATATCATCTTATATTAATACAAAGGGTTTCAGTGGAATCCGAGACGCATGGATGAAATTAAGTAACGGGCTTGAAAATAGAAGAAAATTTGAAGTAGATTTCTTCGAGTCAAAAATAAAATCTTGCCAAATTCCAATGGAGCATTGTCCTAAAAGTGGTTGCAAAAATAAAAATTAGAAAATTATTTCGGCTAAATGATGGATTTTTATGCCAACTATTTGTAGTGAAAGATGTTATAAATTCGGTTCAACACGTTATGCTAATTTTTCTTTTAACTTTACTAGTTTTGATTTATTAACTTTTTATCTTAGTTCAATTTTTGAAAGTTTACTATTATCATTTTTATTATCATTACAGTCTGCCCTCGTTATAATAGAGTAATTCTCTAGAACAATTTATAATTTTATTATTATACTATATAATATCATAGTGGACATTCATTATAACAGACAGAATTTCTGATCACTACGTTATAACGAGGATGGACTGTATTTATAGTAATTAAAATAATTTAACCAGTTAGAAGCAGTGTTTGCACTCAAAATTTCTTCATATAAAAACTTTATATGTCTAAATTATTTAGACAATATGTAAGGAGAAATTAATAAATTCATCTTTGTATGCCCTGAATGCTTCTTAACTAAAGATCTGAATCCTTAAGACTGCTAAAACTTACTTAAATATTCATGATCTAAGTTAGTGTATTTAATATCATATTTCATAATTTAAAAACCCGATAATTTTTCTCTTGCAGAATAAAATTTTAATAAGAAAAGTGCTCTTAAGGCTACTATTTATGCGTGCACTTTTATGAGTCTTTGCAATATCTTGACTTAATTTATCCTGCTTAGTGTAATACAAGTGAAAATATATTAGTTCTATTAGGTATAGTAGAAATACCAGATATAGTATAAGTGGTGGTTATGATTAAGGATGATACAAAAACAGTTTTAAACACTTTTTCATCGATTTAAAACAGGTGATGATTAGAAGCCCGAATAGTTGAATTTACACTCAACAAGGTAATAAAAAAAAGTACGACTCAACAATAAATAAAGAGTAATAATATTTTCATGCACGAATAACTCGGTTACCTTATTGAATAAATCTTAAACTTGTTTACATGACTTCTTGCATCTTAATATACATTTAGCCGTATGCCACATTCGTAAATGTAAATCATATAATTTTCTTAAAGCATAATGATAATTACAATAAGCCTTAGATTTTACTTAAGCATAAACATGGCATCGTGTTATCAATCATTTAACTTATTTGTCACTAAAGTAAATTAGTTATACCGAACTTATAAAAGGCAGTTTCGGACATAACATTACACAAACGTCAAACCAAATACATGACATAATTTTAACCGTATGATTCACAGCAACCAATTAAAGCGTTTAAACGGATGAGCTCTGAACTAGATGGTATAGATAAATAATTTGTATGTGATTATATGAAAGGATCTCTATTTAATCACACCTTTTTATAATCATCAATTTTAGATTATATATAGAGAGATGACTGTATTTTCATTTTTTATTTTGTGCATATTTTTTAAACTATTATAGAGAGATCGCATATTTGACACCAGACAATTTAACCATTATAATTTTTGCCTTATGCATAGATTTCATCAGAACCTTTTTTTATATAACAAAGTTCATCAAATACTATACAAATATTTTTTGGCGGTCGTATATTGAGTTAGCCCAAAATAAGATCATTCAATTTTTATCGATTTTAAATAATAATTAAGAGAAAACTAGACCACATCAAACTTTTAATATTTTGATTTTATAGCAAGTTTTTAAATATTATAAACAATATGCTGAATGTTTATTATTAAATAAGAAATAAAAAAAAAATTAAGAAAATTAATACTATCATAAAAATCGTACTATACTATATTGTATATTTCTCTCACTTATGATAGCCAACTATTTAAAATATATATTATATAATCTGATAAACTTAAACTCATGTAAGATATTGATATTATATGTTTATGGGAGACGAAGAATTTGAATCCATAACTCTGGTTGAAATCATGCCGGGTGTTCATTCTTTGACAATTATGACACCCATCATACCATCATCTTTACAGTGTGTACTAACATCACAGAAAAATCCGAGTTTTTTTGGTGTATCTTTAGTGATTGTAATTGTTCCCGTCGAATCAGCCTTATCGGTTTGGGCTAGGATTGCTGTTTATTAAGAATAACAAATTTGTGTGAGAAGTTTTATACTGATAAAGACAAAGATAGATAAAAATGGTAGATATTTACTAGATTTTTTAATTTTTTTATTTTTTTTACAGCTACCAGGTTTGTCCGATAGAACGACGCTGTGAAAACCGGAGTCCAATGTAAACTTGATCTAAAGGTTTGATAAAAGAGAACGTTATATTAACTGAACACATTACTTGCTTATTTATAAAGAAACCATCAAAATACTTACCTTATCACCAACTTTTACTTTAACCTCATTCGGAGAAAATGACAATTCACCACCACTACCAACCGTAACATTGTGTGTTTTGGCAGAAATAACAGTAGCCAAAGTGACTAATAACAAAGCTAGAAGTTTAACATTTAATTGAGCCATTTGTTTTTTTTTCAAGAAAAAAAGTTATATATATAGGAGTAAAGGATGATTTCTTGTAAGAACAATTAGTTTTTATTTTATGTACCAGACTTTAGTGAAAGGCTGCAAGTTATTAAAGAATAAGAAGTTTTTTAATTTTTTTTTATCGATGTAAAGGCAATTGAGCCTTCTATTTATATTTAATTCCAGACATATTCCTCATTTAATAATCAATAATAATTATTAGCAAAGTAATATAAATCAAAAATCGATTCGTTTTGTATATGTATATGGTTAATTGCTCTTTTAAACCAAAAGGCATTTTTAAGAAAACTTACGCATATATTTTCCATAAATTTTTTTATGTCACCACATGTATTATCTTCATAAACGGTGCTGCTCACATCGTAGACAATCATATCATATGCACATCATTCACAGAGAATTGATATTTATTTTGAAGTTCATTCTATCGAGGTAACGGTAATGATTATCGTGGTCATTAGGATTAGAATCAGAATTATGTTTAAGCTTAATGCAATTTATAAAAAAGCCCCATTTATGGAATTGATTATCTGTAAAATAAGCTTAATTATCTGTGATTGTCGATAAAGTGACACGAATCCCTGCTTTTAAATTATCTAATTTCAATTGTGTTCATAATTTGTATCATTAAAAGGGTTTTAAAAATTTAAAGATTGAGCAACAATGTTTGAAACAAACAGATTATATCCTTATTTGAAAAATTGATCGTAGGTACGGTAACAGAATTTGGTCGAAATTATTTATTTGTACGAGTGATACAAAATCAAAGAAGGAAAAACTAAAATTTGAGCAAATTTTGCTAATAATATGCAATGTTCGAAAAGAATCGATCGTTGTAACGGTAATACGTAGTCAAAAAAGGAAAATAAGCTAGGTTCGTGAATTAGGAATTTAGGATCAAATTAGAAATTTAGGTAAATAATAGGCTCCTATATGTAAAATTTCATTCCTATTATTAGAAATTTAGGTAAATAATAACCTCCTTTATGTAAAATTTCATTCCTCTTATTTGTAATTAGTTTGCCAAGACAAGTATAACCACCTTTTTGTTTCAGTTTCTCACGTGTCGGAATCATCGTATTTTACGTTCTCCCTTTTTGAGTGTCTATAATGCCATGACATTATTATAACATTTATGCTTTTACAATTAATAGAAAGATTAGTATTTAGTTTTAGTGCGATTTAGTTTTTATTCTAAAATAAAAAAGCTACGGTAGAGAACATTATACACAAAGATTTGCAGGATGCATCATAAGAAGTTTTACATTTTTGTCTTTATAGTGTCGTTTCATAAAAGAATAAATAATAATTTGTGTGATATTAAAGTTTCAATAGTGTTCACTATTTTGTTATAGCGCATTAATGTAAAATCAAATTTAATTACGATAAGCAAAAAAATAATGCAGGTAAAATGGTAAATCGTTTGATACGAAGAAATAAAAAATTAAAACGTAAAGATTTTCTTGTTTTGACATTCCCCCAGCTCTCCCGGATTATCGTTCCGGAAATCCTCATTATTCCTGAACAAACCATTCCCGATTACTTCTGTCAACTTTCGGGAAAATTAAATCCCGGTAACCGGCTTCTAATCCTAATAAGGTACAGATTTGCTGAACATTACAGCTCAATTCTTGGCACTCATTCGAGAATTGCCATTGGAGGTTAACTAGCCCATCATTGTGAAATGATTTTTTTATGTGCTACACACCAGGTGTGGGATTACGTTTGGATCAAATTACCAGGATCTAGTAATTTAAATTCCCTTGTTTTTTTAAAGACCTAGTGATTGAACTCGTTTTAATTCGTGACTCGCGAATTTAAAACTCAGAAGAGTATTCGAATAATATGATTTTTTAACTCCCTAGCGCAACCAACAAAAAACCTCGGGCACGCAAGTGGCAGTGGCTTGTCCATTGTGACTTACGAAAAATTTAGCATTGATAAAATGTAAAGTGTGTACGTACGTACGTACTAGGGTGACTAGGGTGGTAACTCAACTGAGTAATGTGAGCAAGCGATTGTCACGTTATACGAATGAAAATTACCATATTACATATCGATATCAATTTAGTTACCGCAATAATACATGATTATTAAGCGATACATTCTAAATGTTTCAACTCATTATTGAGACATGGGATTTGTTCTGCTTCGTTTCTAAATTTATATTGATTATTAATCAAAGTGGATCATTTTGTTAGTGTTTCTATCCATTATCCGTTTATCCATTTATCCATCGGATATCCAAATCTGAATTTATTCGGATATCCGTTTTACTATTAATACCCGGATAATTATCTGATTACCTGTCGGATTATCCGGATATCCGACGGATAATCGGATACGGATAAACGGACGACGGATTTATTTTGTAGAATTACTTTATTTCTCAATCGTTGAAAATCAACAAAAATTTATACTCGTATAATATTATGATTTTTAATTACGAAATAGGTTTAAAAATGTTTATGGATTTTTACATTGATCGTTTAAAACACATCCTTAAATTTATTCATATAAAAGTTTATATCAAATAATAATATCGGTTTTGCCTGAGCAATCAAATTTGGACATCTAAGCAATCAAATTTGAATATTGTAGCAATCAAATTCAAACATCTAAGCAATCAAATTTGTACGCCTTAGTAATCAAATTCAAACACTATAGCAATCAAATTTGAACACTATAGCAATCAAATTTGGACATCTAAGCAATCAAATTTGGACACTATAAAAATCAAATTCAGACACTATAACAAGCAAATCTGAACATCTTAGCAATCAAATTTGAACACTATAGCAATCAACTTCGAACACTATAGCAATCAAGCTCTGTAAGTTTCAAACACGGTCTATTAAAACAAATTTCTGCATGACATTGTCACACTAAATCAGGAACGAATAGATTAGTATGCAACCAAAATTTGTAGATTCTGAGTTGGAATAGGCTAACATTGATTAATTTTGCCTACAGTTGCTTCAAATTTTACTAATAAACCAGTAGCCGATGTAAATAAAATTGTCTAGATATTAAATTTGCTATAGTATAACTAATTAGTATTATTGCTTAATGCCAGCTAGCTCCGATGCACCTCGATCTGATTTGCTAAATTTTAGTCGCTAGACTAATCCACCAGAAACAG